AGTTCGTTAAAAAGAACTTTACAGAATAGAAGAAAACGTTAAAATGCAGAATTTTAACCATCCGTCAAATTTAACTCAGACGCTTACAGAATAGACCTAATTGTATTGAAAATATGAAAGAATGTCCTTCGTTTCAAAAAAAGTTACACATATATTTGCATATACAAAATTTCAATGCAAAGATTTTCCACCATAGTCAGGAAATAAAAAATGATTTGGAAAGTACAGTCATCACTAATTAGACGTGCTGGTGAGTGTATTAGGCAAGGTGGTGCTCATTTTAAACAGTTTTTATAGTAATTAGTAATTTTTAGTACTCGGTAGATATTTCTTAAATTTCCAATTTTTTCTGTTTTATTTGTTACTTTCTCTTTAAACGGTTTATTTATCCCTTTAACTTATTTTTTAGAAAACTTTAAATAATTTGCTTGTCAAGTCGCATTAGTTTTATTTAAGGGTTAAAAGTTGCTTAAAAAGGAAATGCATTTTTTGTATATGCAAATATCTCGATAACCAAGGAAGATATCGAAAACGAGCAAATGGAACTTTTTTATGAAACGAAGGGCGTTCTTTCATATTTTCAAGACACAATGTCCGTAATTCTAAAAACAAAAAAAATCCCTATTTAAAAAAATTCAAACATCGAAAATGTTGAAACCAGCAACATTTGCATAAGGCATATTTGGCTCAATTGACTAATTTTAGCCACCAGTATCTCCATCAGCTTCGTGATTTCCCAACCTTTCGCAGACACCCTGTATAAGAAGGTAAAATTAAAAATTCACATTTAGCTGTTTTTGTACAACAAAGAAGCAAAACATTCAGTGGTATAGGTACAAATTTTTCATAAAATTATTTCAGTACGCCACTGGTGAAGCTATCTACACATTTTTTATGCTAAAATATGTAGTATTTTAAATACTTTTTTATACAATACAAGTTCAACAGAAATTACTTGAAACTGAGTTGTTTAATAAATACTGAAAAAACAAAAAAAAAATGATGCCCTCAGAAAGGAAACAAGAATGGACCAATGTTAGCGGAAATTATGTTATTTTTGAGTGAGGAATATTCTCATGAATGTTTTTGAGACGTCTTATATAAAAAAATAAGTACCTAACTTCATTCTATGGTTCTCTTTCATAAAAAAATCCTTAAAGCTTTATCATCGACAATTCTACATATCATTTTTGTAAATTCAATAAATCTACTTTAAACAACAGTTACCATGAATGAAAATTTTTGTAAAACCACTCATTTTTATGTCCCACTGGATTTTTGCCGTAGAATATTTTGGTCTGTTGCCTTCTCTTTCAAGCTGAGTTAACATGCAGGTTTTTGTCCTTATTCATAATTACTAAAATTGTTCTATTTAATTGTATAATTTTTTAATATCTCCTTAATATCCACTTAAAACGGCGGATATAGGCTATGTATAACATTGTTTACACTTCTTGCGTGGCACTCAACTTGAACTGAAACGCTTTGTCAAGGATATGAAGGACAAATTACCTTCACGAGTTATAAAAGCTTTTTCCATGAACATTTTTCTTCATTTCAGTATCCGGACATTTTATTCATTGTTTCGTCACCATACGATTATCATCGGCAGTACAGGTCGCGGATGAGTACATCATGTCGGGAAACAAAATTTCATTGGGAGTTGTGCTGTTCAGTGTATTAAACTTTGTCGGCTGTGAAAATGATGTGCTTCAAATGTCACTTTTTCCATCTCTGCCCATCGCCGTCCTCAAAAGTGATAATACAGTGTGCAGGGAACACAGTGATCAGTATTTGGATAATCTGAAGAACTTCACGCTATGGGCTCATGAAAGTAAGGGTTTATAAGTCAATTTGTACGACCGAAACGAATTTCTAAAGCGACTGTGGAAGCAAGTCACTGAGACAAATAGTTTTTTTGCACTCAGTAGATACAAATACTAATTAAAGTTCTTGTTTTCATGTAAAATGTCGCTCTCAATCCCTAAGAAACTAAATTTACTTTTAATATATCTAACAAAGGCAAATATGATAGCATAGCTTATATAACCAATACTAATACGATTCAAATGGTTGTAAAGGTAATTTGACACCTCTTAGATTGTATGATAAAGTAATATCAGATGATAATTTTAATTAATAGTTGGTTACAGAGTTACAAAAAAATGGCATATACGCTTTGCGACTGGCTTGCCTTTCACTCCATTAAAATACAGGGTGATTCACATATGACTACTAAAAATGAAACCTCGTATTCCTTGATGAATTTTGAGGGGGTCTTTTCTATAAAGTTTTTATCTAGGATACAGGGTGTTAAACTTCAAAAAATATATATTTTTAAATAATTTAAAAACTAGTTAAGTGAAATAAATTGAAATTGGACACATGTATTNTAAACTTCAAAAAATATTTTTAATTCTTTTAAATAATTTAAAAAGTAGTAAGTGAAATAATTTGAAATTGGGCACTTGTATTTATGTAATCATTGTCGTAAATCTGAGGGATTTTCATAAAATTTACATGCTCCAGTGGCGGAGATACAGGGTACCGGTGGCATATTTTTCTAAACTGCCACTGCTTTACGGTAACAACCATGATATTTTCGGATTCACCTTTCAATTTTCTACAAATTATTCTTATATTTTTCGAAAAAAAGCCAAATTGGTTTCAAAGGTACAGGGCGTTCAATGTTTGAATTTTATTTTGAAATTTTTCAATAATTTTGAAAACTGTCAGAGTTTGAACAAAAAAATTGTTACTGTTATGTTTTTTGAGACGACAAATAAGAATTTTTAACTAATTTTAGCGTTGCTTGTGTAGGGCGTCAATTATGCCCTATCCCTTTGATAAATAAGGAATTTTTTTGCCTTTAGAATTAATGATATTAGTGTCTATTCTATAAGAGGAAAGTAAAATTTTAAAGGAGATTAAAATTTTGGCGCTCGTTAACTTTAGGTATGTATTCTGTATGAAATATATGGTTATTTTTAACAGTTGTTAAATAGAGCCAGTGAAATGGTATTCTGTATGTTATTTTTTGGATTAAATTTTGACCATTTCCTTTAAATTTAGACGATAAAAAGTTAATTTTAAAGGTTCCTAAATTGGTGTTGTTAAATCAGTTTTTTTTTATAAATTGAGATCTGAAGAGATAAAATATGGCATTCGATGGATTTATTCACATGGTACTTCTTGAAATTGACCATCCAGAAGAGAAAACAGACATATCAGAGGCAACTTCGTGATAACAGTCCCTGACAACATTAACGAAAGGGATGAAATAATGAGTGGGACAGAGACATGAACAATAAAAAGTTAGGTTAAATACCAATACTTTGTCTTCTTCTTCTACATGAAATTGTTTGAGCGCGTTTGAACTATTATTTCCGAATAACCCCGATCGCTTTAACGCACACGCTAAAATTTTAACTGTTAACTAGTAGTAGAACTTTACAGAATAGAGGAAAACGTTAAAATCCAGAATTTTAACCATCCGTCAAATTTAACTCAGACGCTTACAGGATATACCTAATTGTATTGAAAATATGAAAGAATGTCCTTCGTTTCAAAAAAAGTTACACATATATTTGCATATACAAAATTTCAATGCAAAGATTTTCCACCATAGTCAGGAAATAAAAAATGATTTGGAAAGTACAGTCATCACTAATTAGACGTGCTGGTGGGTGTATTAGGCAAGGTGGTGCTCATTTTAAACAGTTTTTATAGTAATTAGTAATTTTTAGTACTCAGTAGATATTTCTTAAATTTCCAATTTTTTCTGTTTTATTTGTTACTTTCTCTTTAAACGGTTTATTTATCCCTTTAACTTATTTTTTAGAAAACTTTAAATAATTTGCTTGTCAAGTCGCATTAGTTTTATTTAAGGGTTAAAAGTTGCTTAAAAAGGAAATGCATTTTTTGTATATGCAAATATCTCGATAACCAAGGAAGATATCGAAAACGAACAAATGGAACTTTTTTATGAAACGAAGGGCGTTCTTTTATATTTTCAAGACACAATGTCCGTAATTCTAAAAAAAAAAATCCCTATTTAAAAAAAATTCAAACATTGAAAATGTTGAAACCAGCAACATTTGCATAAGGCATATTTGGCTCAATTGACTAATTTTAGCCACCAGTATCTCCATCAGCTTCGTGATTTCCCAACCTTTCGCAGACACCCTGTATAAGAAGGTAAAATTAAAAATTCACATTTAGCTGTTTTTGTACTACAAAGAAGCAAAACATTCAGTGGTATAGGTACAAATTTTTCATAAAATTATTTCAGTACGCCACTGGTGAAGCTATCTACACATTTTTTATGCTAAAATATGTAGTATTTTAAATACTTTTTTATACAATACAAGTTCAACAGAAATTACTTGAAACTGAGTTGTTTAATAAATACTGAAAAAACAAAAAAAAATGATGCCCTCAGAAAGGAAACAAGAATGGACCAATGTTAGCGGAAATTATGTTATTTTTGAGTGAGGAATATTCTCATGAATGTTTTTGAGACGTCTTATATAAAAAAATAAGTACCTAACTTCATTCTATGGTTCTCTTTCATAAAAAAATCCTTAAAGCTTTATCATCGACAATTCTACATATCATTTTTGTAAATTCAATAAATCTACTTTAAACAACAGTTACCATGAATGAAAATTTTTGTAAAACCACTCATTTTTATGTCCCACTGGAATTTTGCCGTAGAACATTTTGGTCTGTTGCCTTCTCTTTCAAGCTGAGTTAACATGCAGGTTTTTGTCCTTATTCATAATTACTAAAATTGTTCTATTTAATTGTATAATTTTTTAATATCTCCTTAATATCCACTTAAAACGGCGGATATAGGCTATGTATAACATTGTTTACATTTCTTGCGTGGCACTCAACTTGAACTGAAACGCTTTGTCAAGGATATGAAGGACAAATTACCTTCACGAGTTATAAAAGCTTTTTCCATGAACATTTTTCTTCATTTCAGTATCCGGACATTTTATTCATTGTTTCGTCACCATACGATTATCATCGGCAGTACAGGTCGCGGATGAGTACATCATGTCGGGAAACAAAATTTCATTGGGAGTTGTGCTGTTCAGTGTATTAAACTTTGTTGGCTGTGAAAATGATGTGCTTCAAATGTCACTTTTTCCATCTCTGCCCATCGCCGTCCTCAAAAGTGATAATACAGTGTGCAGGGAACACAGTGATCAGTATTTGGATAATCTGAAGAACTTCACGCTATGGGCTCATGAAAGTAAGGGTTTATAAGTCAATTTGTACGACCGAAACGAATTTCTAAAGCGACTGTGGAAGCAAGTCACTGAGACAAATAATTTTTTTGCACTCAGTAGATACAAATACTAATTAAAGTTCTTGTTTTCATGTAAAATGTCGCTCTCAATCCCTAAGAAACTAAATTTACTTTTAATATATCTAACAAAGGCAAATATGATAGCATAGCTTATATAACTAATACTAATACGATTCAAATGGGTGTAAAGGTAATTTGACACCTCTTAGATTGTATGATAAAGTAATATCAGATGATAATTTTAATTAATAGTTGGTTACAGAGTTACAAAAAAATGGCATATACGCTTTGCGACTGGCTTGCCTTTAACTCCATTAAAATACAGGGTGATTCACATATGACTACTAAAAATGAAACCTCGTATTCTTTGATGAATTTTAAGGGGGTCTTTTCTATAAAGTTTTTATTTAGGATACAGGGTGTTAAACTGCAAAAAACATATATTTTTAAATAATTTAAAAACTAGTTAAGTGAAATAAATTGAAATTGGACACATGTATTTACGTAAACTTTCTCTAAAAGCTGAGGGCTTTACTTAGAATTTACATGCTCCAGTGACGTAGATACAGGGTATCCGTGGCATATTTTCCTAAGTAAAATGGTACGCCACTGCTTTACGGTAACAACCATAGTATTTTCGGATTCGTTTTTCAATTTTCTAGAAATTACTACTCTTTTATGTTTTTCGAAAAAAGCCTGATTTTCGAGTAAAACTTAAAAAACGAACTGAGAACACACTTCGAGATTCGAATATAATGGTTTTTAAAATTACGTAGTGGGCTGCGATAGCAACTTTAACATTCTGAGCAGTTAGAAGAAAGAATAAATAATGGTTTTCATCAGATTCAAGCAACAATATATTTCGGACAAATTACATTTTCGTTACTAAAAGATATCGGGTCTGTGTTCGTGGAAATCGAAGTATTTTTGAACATTTACACAAATAAAATCATTAAAGTGATAGCTAATGTTATTAATATTTTTATTCGAATAAATAACAGAATGATTAGTGCTTGTAATGGCATTTAAGTAAAAGTGTTTTCAGTTGGTTTTTTTTAAGTTTTACTCGAAATTCAAGCTTTTTTTAGAAAAACATAAGAGAGTCGTAATTTGTAGAAAATGGAAAGACGAATCCGAAAATATCGTTACCGTAAAGCAGTGGCGTACTATTTTATTTAGAAAAACATGCCACCGATACCCTGTATCTTCGCCACAGGAGCATGTAAATTTTAGGAATGGCCCTCAAATTTTCGACAATGTCTACATAAATACATGTGCCCAATTTGTAGGGAAGACCCCTTAAAATTCACCAAAGAATACGAGGTTTCATTTATAACAAGTATAGCCATTATTAATACGATTCAAATGGTTGTCAAGGTAATTTGACACCTCTTAGATTGTATAATAAAATGATATCGGATGATAATTTTAATTAATAGTTAAATTTGCTTAGGGACTACAAAAAATGGCATATACGCGACTGGCTTGCCTTTTAACTGCATTAAAATATACATTTTAGTCCCTTGGCATACAGAGTGTCACATATTTGTAGGGCAAACTACATGTTATTTGTACGAAAATAGTTTTCTTTATGCCATTTTAAATTTGGGCGTCCTGTTTTTGATGTACACAGTGTTACTTTTAAGATTTTAAGAACGACTTTTTTTAATAACTCGGTTTTTTTATTAGGACCTTAAAAAAATAATAAAATATAATTTTACTATCAGACAAGGGTTATTTTTTATAAAAATAATTTTGCTTAACCAAAAATCTCACACTGAGAAAAAGCAGACAAATCCAAAATATCATTCTCTTTATATTGCAAACCTGATATAGTAATTTACCCCATAAAGAAGGCAAGTATTATTTATTAGTCGAAGATGATTTTGCGTCCGAGCGCGGAGCGAGGGTTGGCAATAGAGTCCGAGCCTGGTAAATTACACTTAACTGCTGCGTGGTGTATAACATTTTATCTGCTCCCACAGTTCTGTATGGTTCATGAAATAAAGATTAGGTTTTATATTTTGACATTTCTTAATCAATTCATTTTGACATTTTTCGAAATTTTGCAGTCGCCTTGATTGTTTGGATTTTGTCGTTTCTAAGGTGTTTATAAACAAAGCTACATAAAAGTTGCAATTTTACTAGTTTTGAATTATTATTTCTAAATGAATGATTTCCAAGCAGAAAGTGCAGCAAATGCTGCCTGCGAATTTTTATTTCCCGAGAAGTCGAAAGGGCGCTACGGACGAGCATATAGAAATTTCAAAAAATGGTGTCAGAACAAAAATGCTGGTGTTTCTGAAATGTCACTGCTAGCATATTTCAAGAACTTTAAAGTCACTGGCGAGTTTGTGGAATGAATACTCAATGATTAAGTCAACTATTTTCATAGAGGAGAACGTGGATATATCAAAACACCCCAAGCTGAGAGTATTTTTGAAACGTAAGAATGACGGCTATACATCTAAAAAGTCAAGCGTTTTTACGAGAACAAGTCAACGATTTTCTCGTTCAGGCACCCGATGACATATATTTTCTAATGGAGGTAGTGACGGTCTTAGGCATTGCAGAAGCATTTCTGATGAGTTATGCAAAGTTACTTTGGACAACGTCAATTTCTAAAATTTCAATAACATTATTGTAGTTACAATTCCAAATTCTAAAAATGGTATGTCACGTACGTTTAAAATTACTTCTCGTCAGGGCTCTGTTTCTCACCTAGAAATTCTCAAGAAATATATCAAGATTAGATTGGAAATTAAAAATGAAATTTCATGCAAGAATACCCTTTCTATGATTCCTAATAAGATTGCACAGTTTTTGAAACTAGAACATCTTGAAACATATACAGGCCATTTATTCCGAAGAACATCGGCAACGTTACTAGCTAATACAGGAGTTGATATATTAGTTATCAAGAGACACAATTGCAGAATGTTATGTTGAAGTAACAAAAATGAAATAACCAACAGGATTCTTTACAATGATACTTCAACTCTAGGTTCTATTAATACGTCGCATCGTGCTGTTTTAGTGGATCAGTCTAATAATATTGAGCCTCCGGTGACTGAAATGGAACGGTCAAATCATTTTGAGAATAATTTGACAATTAGTAAACGCGAGGGGAATAATTATCCAGATTTTATAAATGTTACTAAATGTAATAACTGAAGAATTACTACAAATATTCATTCATAATAATAGTTAATAAAATGTAATGTTCATCAAATATTTCTATTTATTTGTTCATAAAATCGCTTTTTTCCCTGGGGAGGTAAGTTACCTCACTTATCTCCCGTTGTCCATAGCAACTTCCACTTCTATGGTAAAATGTACTTACCTCCTTAAAAACAATATATTAGTAGTCTATTTACCATAGTGGGAGCAGATAAAAGTTGTTTACGTTTCGAAAATTCAGCTTTCGTCTTTTGAACTGACAATGAATTGGTTTTTAATTATTTCTGATACTTTAAATTTGTTTTTGCCTGTTTCCATAGATAGAGACCATATGATATTTATTCTATCATCACTTACTTCATTTGTAGCCATGTTCACAGAATATTTTGAAAGATCACCGTTCAACAAAATAATTACGGTCCCTTTTAATTTTCTTTTAACAGAGTTATTTTCTTTTTCTATAATTTTGGCCGAACTGCATTGAATTGTATAATCTTTTTCCCAAGAGAAATTGCAAATATCTTATTCCTCAAATTCTGGGGTTTTAATGCAATCTTTGTGCTCATCTATTCTAATACCTACAGACCGAGAAGTCTCTTCAACATGATGTTTCATGCATGTAGGTGAAACGTAATTATTTGGTTGTCTTTGACAAAGTCCGTAAAGTATTTTTCCGTAACCGAAGCGCAAGCAGAAGAATGGTAGTGGTAATACGCATAAGTCCATCAATTCTTTCCTATGACCAGCTATATTGTTAAGAGATACTGTATTTTTTAGACAAATGATTGCTTTTCTAATTTTGATTTGGAGCTTGGTATACGGAATCATCTTTAGTTGTTATGTGATGGGAATCTTCGGTATATATTAGATTGGGCCTAGAATTTGGAATTCTTAATAAACGTTGTATTTTAAAGTACAAGTATTGACAAGACAGCTCTGTTAGACATTGTTCTATCTTAATTAACTAACTGTGGGAATTAAGTAATCTAAAGGTATTATTACTATTGAGAGAGTGCCAAAATAAGAAATAATAATAGAAAATATGTGTTTAACAGTGGAGATATCTAAGAGTATATTTGAATTTTGAAAATACTAAAGTTGGTGTTCGTTATGATTGACATCTTCGCGATTGCGCAAATTTAATAAGAGAACCAAATGTGCTATAGTTTCAGCCTAAAAAATCTGCGCCTAGATACATACATTCCTCACCACTATGTGCACTTTTCTTGATTGTCAATAAAAATATTTAAACTGATGACTAAAGTTAGATCAGGATAAGTTAAGTTTATTCCATTTTAGTTATTTCTGGACTACATTAGAAACCTGTTCCTGAAGTGCTCTGTGCCATCTAGAATGCGTTCTTGTAAATGCGGCTCATTTAATTAATTATAAAGAAATCTTTCATAAACCTCCAGAAAAAAAAGCCCATCGAGGTCGAAGTTTCGAAGATTTTGATTATACTGCGGTAGGATACAGTCAAGCTAAAACAACATATTTTGTTGACCCAAAGGTCACCATCGAGAATAAATTATTGATTTGTAGAAAAATTAAAATTCCTGGGAATTTAATCAAAGTGGCCAGGAAACCGGGTTTAAAATATATTTGACAACTATTCCTACCCATCTTAACATTAACTTGGTATTGTATAACTGTTACTGGATTGCATAAGTGGGTATTATGAATATTAGTCACTCCATTAGACGTAAATGTTGTATCATCAATAAACCCAATATATTTTACAAAAAGGCGATCTATTGCTTCCT